ACCAGTGTTTGATAGGCAGGTCATGAAACATGAAACTGCAACATCTACACAGGTATCGGCAAGTCATGTGCTCCGTCCCTTTGCCATAGAAAATAGATAAATCTAATTTATCCAATTTCTAACTTCATTTTTGAAAACAGATAACATTATGTTGATATAGTGCGGATTTGTTGCAGTATAATCACCAGAGCCTTGCTAGGCTGGTGATGTCACCATAAATGCTAATATTAGTTCTATTGCCATTGTTTGCTGTACTTTATTGAACAGGCTGCTTGTGGATATGAAAAATCTGTTGTATAATTTGGCTTTCATGCTCTTCTTGATCGTCTGGAAATACCCATTTTAATTAGGGCGAGTGCTCTCAGTGCTGACAAATGCTGTGTCTGTTTTTGAATGCTATTTACAGGAAGGGAAAAGAGTTCCTGTTTGTCTAGCTAAACACTGGAGGTGAGACCTTCCAGCTACTTAAGGTGTTGAATGGCAACAAGCCCTTTAGAAATCAGTAAACATGGGAATAAGCAAGCCATGCCAGATAAGGAAACATGCTGTAAGATAGCCAAGAGAAGATGGCACTGATGAGTAATGAGACAGCATGCGAGTGAAAACAGTAGTGTCCTTCACCTGCTGATAGTGTAGCTGATGTATCGCTGATGTATAGATACCCAGTTGTGACATAAGAATTCTTTATGAGGGTGATAAGGTTCTGTGGGTTTATCTAGATAAGTGACTTTATCATTAACCACTCCTCAAAATAATCCATCAGTTCAGCCATTTCATACTCAACCTCATAGCACTATGAAGCTCCAACACCTCAACCAGGATAACATTCTGATAGTTCCTATTTATTGAACTACAGAGGCAAAATATGATTCCATTTGCTGGTACAACAGTGTACATGGCTTTTAAATCACTGAGCCGATTTATTGGGGCTTGTAGGGCGGGGAGATCGAAGCCTCATAACTCCTGGCAAATGCATGGACATATTTTCCCCCTTTCTTTCTCTTTTCATTTGTTGTTAACACATGACTCAGTCAGGCTTGACACAGAGAATGCCGACATCTCATTCCTTTCTGCTACTCTGTAAGCCAGATCTCTGAGTCACTCTTACAACCGTGCTTCTGACAAACAACAAAGGAAAAGATTTAGTTATGCAGGAATACTAACTAAGCAGCCTGTTGATGTCAACAGTAGAGAAGCCTATGTAAAGTGAATCATAGGTGTTGAGAATAACTGAAGCTTTTTATGGTGGGAATTCAAGTCACAGTTCACTGTTTTGCGTTGCAGGTTTTTAGCCGTTGAGGGTCCCGTGCAGTATCTTGGCTGTTCCTATGACTGCACTCTTCTGGACAGAGATCTCGAATGTTCCCCATACTTCTTATGGTCGCTCAACTCCTAGCCAAACATCTCACTGATAACTATAGCCGTGGTGTAGATCAGCTGATTTGTCTTGGTAATGGTTGCAGTAGGTATTGTCTGTAGTACTGCATTCACATAATCTACATAATTTACTTAGGTATTATTAAAGTATTCTGATTCTGATCGACAGTAGGCCTTCAGAGGGAACTTGTAATCTTGGTAACCGGCTACAGAAGGTCCAGGTTTCAAGCTTCGCTATGATCCTGTCTTTTAGGTCAGTTACTCTTGCACTCAACAATCCTTCTTCCATTGCACTTGGGGCTTGGTATCCAATCTTGGGTGAGGGTGATGATATCTCCCCCCCGACTTGTTGTTCTGGCTCCCACTTGCTGTGTCATTTGTGTTATATAGATTTAAACGGCTAAATTCAATGCATGGTTTGATCTCTGGAACCAGTCTCTTGGAGAAGCAGGGATCGCAAAATCGCTAGCCCCACCCATCGGGTTATCATATAGCCCGACGGGCGGGGCTGAGATAGATTTTGGTCGCCCGACCGGAGATATCGCTAGCTCCAGGACGTCGGGCTAGCAATTCACCATTCTGAGAAGGGATGGACTCTTTTCCATTCTGGAGTTGCATTTGGTGGAATGAGGTGGGGAGGCCTGGATATCCTACATATCACCATTGGAGTTTTATTATGGGACAAGACGGTTGCTTCCCTGCACCTTTGGCTTGGAAAATTGGTCCTGACTGTCGTCAGGTTCGTAAGGTTGCTCCATTTGGAGATATCTCTATTAGGATGAACATCAGGTAGTGGCCTCCAGCTTGCACTGGAGTGGTTTGCAAGTCTGAAGCAGTGGGAACGAGAACTAGAACCTTAGACTAGACTGGTCGATCAACGTCCCTATCCTCACGTATGGATATGAGCTTTGGGTCGTGACTGAAATAGTGTGACCAGTTGCTATCTCCTACCAGCAGGAGGCCCAGGAGTAGACCCATGTCAAATAGGTGTCTCTGGGCTTCCTTGCTTAGGTTGCTCATGTGACCCAGCACAGGATAGGTGAAAGAAGATGGATGAGTGGATGAATCGATGGATGAATCTTATTTGACTTGGTAGCTACTGAATACTGTATCATAATAAAACTCAGGCTTTGTCCACAGGACATGTACAATGTAAATGTTTTTGCAATGCAAAACACTTCCATCTCCAGTCTCATAACAGTGCACAGCCTCCCATTAACTCTTCAAAGCCACTACTCACCTTAAGTCCAAGGCTTAGCTCGTGAAGAGAGCATCTGATCTCCTGGGTGAGAATGTTCATACGCTCACACTCCTGCAGCGCCACGACCTGATAGGGAGTCCTCTCCTCTGCTTTCCCTAGAAGCTCAGCCATGTTGAACTCCTCTGGGAGTTTCTCCAGTATCTCTTCCAGCACTACATGCACCTGATACCATGATTAGGAATATAGAAAAAAGTGAGAGGAGTGTTTCCCAGTAAAATAGCCCATTATGCTTGTCAATATTAAAGCTAAGTAGGACAAGAAACACCAATGGTAAGACAATACTCTCCTAAGTAAACATCTGAAAAGAGATGGGTCCATCTGAGTCACATAAACTCAGTCCTGTCAATGCTGACAGTCTGAGAAACTGTTTGAAATTGTTCCATAAATATTCATGAAGACATATTTTTGCAACACCAGCTTTTTGTTTTCAATAACAGTATTATTCCTTCAGAAAATCAATGCTCGCATCGTATTTTTGTGGACAAGGGGTGAAAGCTAATGTCAGTGTCCAAACTTTCCCAAGACAACCAGCAAGAGAGATCAATCAAAGGATTAGGTACCAAACTAAGGATATCAGGTCATCGTATCTATGGATTTTTTTGTTCCTGATGATTCTGAATATCTGATTTGACTTTGGCAGCTACTGAACACCCAGAATACAAAGTGGCTTTTTCAGTAAGCCAGAAAGATTACAAATCATAATATATTAAATGACCAATGGAAACACGGAAACACACACACACGGCAAATGTAAAGTCACAAATCAACCTTACATATATGTTTTTAGACATTTTAAGGTCAACTAATCATTGACTTTAAAATACAGATGAGAGCAAACATAAGTAAATCGATCCCAGTTAAAAGCATGCGCATATGAATTAAACATGAATGACCTAATGGTCAGTGGTGAAATCAAATTAATGTTCTCTGTTAGAAAGGGGTTGTTGCAATTATCAAATTGTAATCATAAAGTGGTGGAAATAATTATTTGATCCCCTGCAGAATTCATAAGTTTGCTCACTTACAAAGAAAAATCAGTCTCTAATTTTTACCATAGTTTTACTTTAAAGGAGAAAGACAGGATATCAACAAAAATCCAGAAAAACACATTACATGAAAGTCACAGATGACAGACTGTGTTCCCATGTGACACGCAGATTACAGTCAATTAATCAGTCAATTATAGATACATCTGATCTCAACCCATTATGAGTAAAAAGCACACCAATTCCTCCACCAACATGGACCAAAGAGCTGTCTAAAGATGTCAGGGACAAGACTGTAGACCTGCAAATGTCCATTAATCATCCTTGATCGGGCTTGTTCATGATCTGGAGGCAGTTGAGATCACAGTCACTAAGAAAACAACTGGTGAAGCACTATGCTGTAATGGATCAGATCCTGAAAACCACAAAAGTGATCACACATTCACGATCATCATGAGCATGCTTTTCTTTGGTTTGGTTTGCCACACCGACTTTGTCCCCTATGGTGATACTAACAATCCAGAGATGTACATGTAATGTATCTAACTGTGATATATTTTTTCATAAGCCCCTTCACAGGACTACATACTAGGCACGATCTGATATCGTCGTGTTGGTGTTGTTCCCAGATCATCATACTAAAGGTTGTTCCAGGATCAACATTGCAAGTGACCAATCAGAATGTTGTGATGTCATACTTTTGCGACTTCGGGAAAAACCGGCGTAAAACAAAAAACTGTACTTAAGCTGCGAGAAACCGCCTTTGTCCGCCGATCAACGAACCCTAACCCTGACCCTAACCCTAACCCTTTAATAAACGCTAAGCAGAATTGATATTGTCCTTGCAACATTGGAATTTCATAAATGCACGAATGGGTTGGTGCGCAAAAGAATAACGTCACAATAATGTGATTGGTCACTTGCAATATTGAACCTGGAACAACATTTTCATGATGATCTGGGAACAACACCAACACGACGATATCAGATCATCCACATACTAGATACACAACACAGTTACTGTGATGTCCAATGTCATTAACTACTCCCATTTTTAACACTGTCAACACACAGTTTAGTCGACTGAATAATGGACAATACACATGTGAATGGGGCTTTATTGATCAATTTCACAACAACTGCCAGCAGTCAATTGTTTGGTTGGGGAATACCTGTTTTTCCTTTGCAATCCGTGGTTGTCAGATGGTTGCTGACAAGTCTCTGGGCTGTGTGGCTTATTTAGCTATAGTTTCGTTTATAAATAGCTTCCATAACTACATACTTTACAGGGCACTTTTATTTAAAGCAATTAATTTAAGCTTTTACTTTTTAATGGCTCAGTCATATTAGAGCAAAAATAGGATGAGAGTCTCTTTGTAAATAGGAAAAATTATGCATATCAGATTAATAAATTTAACTTTTTTCATGTGCATCTGACCACAAGTGGTTGAGTGAACCAACTAAGGCCTTTTCATGCTTAACCTTGGGGTTAAAGTTATCTTTAAACAATCTTCAAATAGTCCATCTTGGACTAACTTTAATCATTCTCAGACAGATGGGTCAAGGTCTACAAATAATTGGCATTTATTTTCCAAAACTTCGCAATTAAGTCAGTCTGAACCGATGAGCTGAACCTGTCTGTGACATGCCTTTTTGCAATAGGGGACTTGAGTAAGCCGGTTGCCAACTCGTCTTCTCATTATATTCCTATATAAAAGCTGGATGCCATTTTTAAAGCACCAACTGTGTCACTATCTGTGAATGAATTTCTGATTCTAATCTTCTGGGATTCTAAATGTAAGCAGTGAATGTGAATTCCTTTTTAATGTGAATTTCTGTGTATGTAAAAATCAACACATTTGCAGTAGCTGGATTTGTACTTTTTGCCTATTTATTACAGTAACTGCTGTGTTATCATAAACAGATAACATCTAATGAGACTGATTCTGTTTTATTGTCATTTAATTGGTGTTGTGAGTCACCAAAATCACTTTGAAGATATCAGCTGACTGTGAGTGGTCAAGGATCTGTCCCCCGTCTTCAAAGCAACCATATCAAAGGCAACAAAATCACAAGTTCATTGCATACAGTTGCAACAACTTTGGTCACGCTGCAGTCTCCAACCACTGTAGCAATCAAATTCAGTAAAACAAACCAAAATAATCTATCTATCTATCTATCTATTTGTCTAGTGGAGTACTTTGACTGTACTGAGTTCTTCTGCCTTGTTTTCTCATCATATTTTTCTCATTTGTCTTTACTGTTTCCCAATTTCTGGCATATCTTACCTTATTTGGATGAATATACCAACATACATACTTGTATAGTGTTTTTTCTACTCCAACTTAAAGCAATTTTCACAACAACTTTCATTCATCCAATAACACAAACATTCATATAAACTCATTTTCTAAGAGTCTTCTCTAACACAAACACACGCGCACACACTCTACTCCTGAACCACAGCCACTCTCAGTTATATAAAAACAAATTATTCATTCTTTCTTAAAGAAGGAGAAAAAAAACCAGGGTAACTTTTACTGCATCTCTTTTTTAACAAAGCTAACACTTCCAGTTTATGATATAAGAAAAGTGACACTTGCTCCATAGAGGGAGTGCAGAAAGCTGCACTCTCTGACAGAATATTTGTTTTAGCTTTTACGCTCATATAAACTTTATTTCACAGCAGTACTGAACCAAAAAATGCACCACAAAATGCCATCCTTGTAAAACTCACCCTAGGTGTTTTCAAAGCCCCAAACAGTTGGTCACAATTTATTTTCAATTGGCCATGCAGGAGCCACAGAAAATGTCACCCGTTGTCATCACACATTTACGTTTAGGGATCTCGCTCAGAGTTTCGTGTGAGACTTACTAAGGCCCTGGTTCGTATATCTGCCTGGGATATCTACCGTACACAAGGGCAGAAAATCACATCAAAATCAAAATCTGAGTTTAAATGCTACCATTCCCATATACCCATGAATATAACTGACCTGCTGGTAGCGTTGTCATAACAAATATACACTATGCAGAAAAACACTGAAGATGGTAATGGTAGCAAATATGTCAGGCCAGTTTTTGAGGGAGAATGTGTGTCAAAACTGGAGATATGGTGCAGGCACAAAACACTAGAGGTGGGAATCACCATACATCCCACGATACGATATTATCACAATACTTAACGCACGATAC